AGCCCGCGGTATGGTTAAGAATCGAGCTTTGGAAGCGGATTATGGAAAGAGGCTTAGAATGTTCTATGATATCTTCAGCTTGCAGTGTAGCATTTGGAGGAAGGAGAGAAAATGACTTCGGATTCACAGAGGAATTTTCAGAATGGGTGTACCAGTTGAGGATGCGAATATGCGCACAAGGAAGGTATGAGATGGTTCGGTGGGATTTGAGATAATATGGTCTCGTGATTTAAGGCCACTCAGGATGAGTGCGGTTTGAGTTGTTATGTGTTGACTGGAGTTATTATTATTTCTAAGACAAGTTAAGGATAAGGTAGAAGAAGTCGGGTCTATTAGCCATGGTTGAATTGGCATGATGGTGGCAACGATCAGTTCCTCCAGTGTGATTAGATCATGCAAGTGATTTATGGCGATTGTGTGAGGCTTGACAGCCACCGTAATTGGTTTTATTCAGAAGTATTCAAGTACTATGGCCTATTATGTGTAGGTGGATCGGGAAGGGTTATGGTGGTTTGGACCACTACTTGAGGATTTGCATGTTCTACGGTTATGAGAATTCAGTCGTGTGTTGCTATGGTTCTCTTGGAATGAGTTAAGTAAAAGGTTCAAGAATTATGACGAAATCGTGTACTATCTCATATTGGCATGTTAGGCACAGTAAGCGGCATGAAATTTGAAAGTGAGGATCAAGGTTGCAGTTCGGTGTTGACAAGGATGTCACGAACTCGAATGAGCAGGAAAGGAATTTAGATGTTTAGAGCGAGCTAGTATTGTCTTTAGCGTCACCTGAGATCAGTGCCTTGTGCAAGAGGCTTCGTGTATTGATTTATGGATCCTTGATTCGCTTTACAACATTAGTGCAGCCGATGGTATGGATGTGCAGACTTGTTACCCGGTACGGGAAATCCTGGAAGCGTGTTCCACGGGAAGATTATATAAGTGTGACATGTAGTCACTTGATTGATCGAAGATTTAGACCAAGTATGGAGATTGTGGTAATATCACTGATTTGAGAATTTATGACTGGAGGGCGCTCGGTTCGTTTGGTTGTGGATTGTGGAAGTTTGTTTCGTTTATGATGGTTGTTCTTATGTGTTATGGGAAAAAGGGGTTATTATGAACCCTTGAAAGGTTATTAGCCTAGTACGGTGCGATCAGAATCGGCTTGAGGTCTGTGAATGGATTTAAATATGAATATGGGCTCTATATCAGGCCAGATGTGTTCATTTCAGCATAGCGCTCCTCACGGAGGAGTATTCGGACGTTGGATGTTGTTTCGTCGTTGGCTATTTCATGTAACATTATATGGTGCTGTGTGAGTTGTGAAACAACTTGATAAATTTCATATGTGTTGAGGTTCCGCGTAGCGATGGTGTTATGTGAGTAGGATGGCTCTCGAGATTCAAATCATATATCGCACCTTAGTTGTGCTTGAGTATTGAAGCGTATGGCGCTATCTGTCTCCCCAGGGATGGTATTATGCACTTGGCATGCTCGTGTCAGATATTCGGATATTTCGTGGTTATGAGCACTTTAGCTCGGTAAGTATTTCCTTATAGATTTTGTGTATGGATCGGGTGGCACGCCGCCACGGGTATATTGTTTGGATCGAGTTGCACGCCGCAACAGTGTGATGTTGAGTACCCTATATTCTACTTTGTGTGTTTTGCTTCCCATTTTATGAGGTAGGTTCATGACACCTTTTCGGCTGTCTAATTAGTTACGTGGGTTGAGTAGTCCCTTCCAGAGTACGTTTTTCTTATGTATCACATTCAAGTTTGTAGCCTATTGGCACATTGTGGCATCATATGAGACTTTTGGTCATGTCTAGGGTGGCTTATTGCCTGAGCAGCTCGTACTGGGTGAAACGAGATTATTGGATCTAGGATCAGTGCGATCGGATTATATGAAGTATATTAAAGAGCAAATACCATTTTTGGTTCAGAATGAGGTGACAGTTCTTGTCAGGAGTATAGACTCAATGATTTGTTGACTCGGCGGTTGGTTCTGAATTTCTACACACCTCTTCCGTCGTGGCGGTATTGTAAGAGTTAGAACAGGACTCATATATGTCATGGGGTGCATTGCGAGCATCAGATTCGGGGAATATCGGCTATTATGATTAGAGAGTGTTATTATGGTCCTGTGAATGATGTGGTGCATGGTGTGAATTCAGCAAAGGTATGCAGTCATGTTCTGGTACATCATGGGGTGATTGATACGGTGTTCGTATGTTGGAAGAAGGCCTGGCAGAGAATTTCGGATGTTGGAACGGGGCTCTAAGGCTTATTTGCCTAAATGAAAGAGGATATCTTCAGATTTGATCGAGCTTATTTGTTCAAATAAGTTGTGGTAGCATGGGTAGGTGCACGAGGTGTTAAACAGTAATTTCAGACTACTCCAGCACAATTCTCAGCACGTTTGAGGACGAACGTATGTTTAAGTGGGGAGAATGCAACGACCCGACCGGTCGTTTTGAGCTCTAGCGCGTCGTTTAGTAGTTTGAGGCCATTAGCAGCTTCACTCCAGGTATTATGACTTGCATGCATGGTCGGAATTGAATTTCGGGAAGTACAGAGTTGATTTGGAAAGAAAATTCTCATTTCGGAAGCTTTAAATTGGAAGAATTGACAAAGACTGGAACTTTGAGTAAACAACCTCGGAATCGGTATTTTAAGGTTCCAGGAGGTTCGTATGATAATTTTTGACTTGGGCGTATGCCCGGATCAGATTTTTTATGACCCGGGATCGTTTTGGCGCCCATTGTGGAAGTTAGCATTTCTGGAAGAATTTCATAAATTTGGGTTGAAGTGTATTTCACTGTTATCGATGTACATTTGAGATTCCGAGTCTAGGAATAGCTCTGTATGGTGATTCTTGTATTGAGAGCGCGATCTAGAAGTCTGAATAGGTCTGTAATGTCAAATTTAACTTGAGTGCAAAATTTAAAGTCAATCGGACGTGATTTGATAGGTTTCGACATCGAATGTAGAAGTTTGAAGTTCTAAAGTTCATAAAGCTTGAATTGAGTTGTGATTCGTGATTTCGACGTTGTTTGATGTGATTTGAGGCCTCGAGCAGGTCCGTGTTATGTTATAGGACTGGTTGGTGTGATTAGACGGGGGTCCTGAGGCCTCGGTTGTGTTTCGGGGTGGTTTCGAAATCATTTCGGATTGTATTGGAACTACTGATTGCTGGTGTCTAGTTTCGTTCTTCGCGAACGCGAAGGAAGTCCAGCGTGCGCGAAGAGGAGTTTATGGGGTTGCTGAGTTTGGCCTTCGCGAACGCGAGGCAGTAGTTTGTTAAGCATTCGCGAACACGAAGAAGGTAAGGGAGAGCTGGGCCTAGGGCCATTTGGCCTACGCGAACGCGATGGGTCTGGGCAGCTGGCTTTCACGAACGCGATCAGCGGGTCGCGAACACGAAGAAGGATTTTCTGGGCGTGAGATTTCTGAGCTTCGCGAACGCGAGGGATGTTCCGCATTCACGATGAAGGGTCACCTGGGAAGTGTTCTTTTAAAATCGGGGTTTTCACTCATTTTCTCTTCATCTCTTTCATGGGAGCCAATTTTGGAGCAACTTTGGAGTGCCATTTTCATCACCAAGCATGAGGTAAGTGGTTTCAACTAGTTTTGAGTAAATACAAGGTTTATATATGGATTTAGACAAGAAAATTAGTAGAAATTTGGGATTTTGAAGTAAACCCTAGAAAATTGGAATTATTGGATTTTGACATGAAATTGGACATGAAATTGGGAATAAATTATATATTGGCCAATACATGTGGAGGCCCTTAAACTTGTCCATTTATTTAATTCAGACACTTAAACTTGGAATAGTACCTATTGAACACTTATGCTTGAGCTAATCTATATCTAGTGAGCACATTTTTCCGACTTGGCAAAGCATACATTTTCAGTCTCTTTGAGCTCGTTTGGTGTCTCAAAAATGGGTCGTCCATCCTCTTTTATTTTTTTCTCCTTTTCTTTTCTACAGAATTCATTATTGCTTCTTTCTCCTCAAAAAGGGTGTTCCAGTGCCATCTTCTGGTTTTCCACAAAATTCATGGTTTCTACTTTCTAGTCCTCTTTCCGTTGTTGTCTTCTTCATTTTAAAACCCATGTTAGATTCAAACTCATTGGTACCTAAACAAATAAAACCCATTTTTTACAATCATTGTTCTTGCAAGATCAAAATTACTAATAAATTACCTCAATTGAAGAACCTCATTTACGTATAAACAATACCACAACTTTCATTTATTCTACCATTAAAATCCAAAGAAATCTAGCAAAAACGGTGAACGAAGCAAATCTTGCATAATATTCCTCCTTGCTTAGCCACAAACTCAAAAGAGAGAGAAGCTTATTGAGAGATAAAAAAATGTCGTAAGCAGCTTTTTTATATCAATTCAATTATTCAATTGCCTTCTTGTTTTATGATCTTCGCCTTCGAATGAAGCAACCGCACTCTAGATGAGCTATAAATGGAAGACTCTGACAAAATCAGCATTTATTCAGTATTTTGGGGTTCGGTGACCATGGGTCAGACGAAGAAGACAAGGGAGGGGAAGAAGTATTTATTTTAATTATACTTATTTTAGACATGTGATTTTTGTTCATCCCCAAAATTTTTCATATTTTAGCACGTAAATATTTAATTTAGGCCTAATATAGCTATTTTAACTAATTTTTACTCTTTTATTTTATTTTATTACAAGAAAAATAAAAATTACAAAAATTGTTCCATTAATGTTTTGTAATCATTTTTAATCTTGTAAAATACCTAAAAAAATAGTTTGTTTTAATGGTTAGTCTTATTTTAACAGTTATTTTATTTAAGTAGGACTATTTAACAAATGATCGTATTTTAGCTCCATTCGCGGGAAAAGAATAAAACTTGGGCTCGAGCAACTCATTTTTAGGCCTAATTTTGGACCTAGCCCATAATTCTCAATCCGTAGCCCTAAATAATAGTACTTACGCCTAAAATCTGGAATCAGACCTAAACACACAAAAATACGCCTAAAAAAATCTGAAGGGGATCGAACAAAAAAGATCCCAGCGCCGTATAACTCCAAAAGACCCCCTCCCTAGGTCGTCTTCTTCAAAGAAAGACCTGAAGTTGAAGCAAAAAACCATGAGCTTCTTCTTCGCCTAAGGACTCAAACGCAGCAGACCCTCACCCAAGAACACCCACCAGCAGCCAAACACCAGCCACCTCTCAAAAAAAACACACTATACACACATCAGATCCCGAAGCTACAAAAAAATCCGCCGTTTTTTCTCTGAAAAAAGATCAAAGACACACAAAAAGCAAAAAGACCCAAAAATCAGACCCAAAAACTAACGCTACTAAGCAGCGCCGTTCTTCACACAAGGAGACCCATCAGCTCTTCTTCTTCAACAAGAGGACACCAGAACCCTCACCCAAAGGACCCGTTGTTTCTTCTCCATCCGTTTCTCTCGCACCAAACGTCCACCAGCTTCACGTCAACAGCCGGTTTTCACCACCGTTAAAACGCAGTCGAAGTTTCGGCGCTGAAAGTCCGTTCGAGTTAAAAGTTTTTCCGGTCAAGGTTCTGTTTGCGATTCCAGTCCCGAGGCTGTTATTTGATTTCAGTTTTTCTTATCTCAATGGTTATGGCTATTGTACAAAGCTTGGCTTGAAGTTTTGTTAATATATTGAAAGAGGTTTCCTTCAAATTTCTTCGGTCCAGTTTGGTTTTGAGTTTATTTCTTCCCTCTGTTTGAGTTCATCGCTGCCGATTAGTTGCTGTAATCTCATTGGAGATGCTCGATAATAATGTTTGATCGATGTCGTTTTGGTTCGAGTTTTCCGGTGCCTAGTCGAGTTTCCGTATGCGGTTTATTACATTTTGAGCTCAAAGCAGTACTACAGTTGATTTCCATGCTATACTGAGGGTACAACGATCAGATGTAGGCAGAAGAGGTTGGTTGTCATGTTTGGCCAAAGCTGGAGTGATTGCGCAGGCGACGCTGCTCTGCTTTTGCCCTTTCAGGTAATCCATTTCGAGGTTGGCTTGAATGGATTTGTTTTTGGATCTTTTTCTGCAGTAAGAGTTTCCATTGTTGCGGATATTCTGATGCAATTATGTGCTGGAATACTCTGTTTGATAATTCAACTAATCACTCAAGAGAATTAGATATTTGGAAATCTAAAGGTTTGTTCTATGACCTCTGTATCCGTCGCAATAAGTGTTATTAATATTTGCTTTTCAAAATAAGTTATCTAGTTAGCAAAGAAAGCCACCTTCCATGAGACAAGCCGTCTTGACCATATTCAACAAATAGCTTGGATAAAGACAAAGAAAAAATTAAACTACCTTAGGTACTTAGTTTTACCGCACCTTAAATTAACGTGCATATGTCCTATTGATTTGTTTCTTCGTGTTTGATTTTAAAATCGAAGTTACCGGTATGCAATTTGAATAATAATTTAAGGCAACATGGTTTGGACATTTGAAATGTGTGCTATTTAATGGGTCACGAGAGTTGGTTAAGAAACCTGCTTGGAATGTTTAACAGATTTTATGCTATTGTAGCTTAGAAAGCTCTTCATGCTCTCATTTTGTTTGTTTAATTAATGGAATATCGTAGTTTGCTTTAGGCGTGTAATTAAATAAATTATCATAGCTATGGGTACGGTTCGCGTGACTTAGTTGTGATTTGTAATTGCTAAAATTCGGGGGTGCATTTCATGTGACCCGATTCTAATTTCCAACAAGGTTAAATAAAGCGTGTCGTGAACCGCGTGTGCATTTCATGTAGCGTGGCTTACGATGTGTTTTAAATAACCTTGAAATTTCTTGAAATATTAAAAAGCGGCTAAAAAGTTTAAAATGCACAATAGATTAAAACATGTAGTAAATCGGATAATGGGCCAATTTTAATAGTTTAAGCGACCGTGCTAGAACCACGGAACTCGGGAATGCTTAACACCTTCTCCCGGGTTAACAGAATTTCTTATCTAGAATTTCTGGTTCGCAGACTTTAAAATAAAAGTCGAATTTTCTCGATTTGGGATTTAAAAGAAATCGGTGACTTGGGACACCATAAATATTCCAAGTGGCGACTCTGAAAAAATTAAATAAATAATCCCATTTTGAATAATGTCACTTTAAATGGAAAAACTCCCTTATATCCCCTCTCGGGTGGTAAAAGGAGGTGTGACACTTATTACCATGTGTCATTTTATCATTCGTTTTTGCCGAGTCAACTATGCGTTAGAATCACACGCTCATATATTATAGCGGACTGCCAAAAATGTGCTCAATAGATACAGATTAGCTCAAATATAAGTGTCCAATAAGTAGTATCCTAAGTTTAAGTGTCTAAATGAAATAAATAGATAAGTTTAAGGCCTGAACATGTATTTGGCCTTATATATTTGAGTTCGTAATGTTTGTCTTCGAAAAATTTCGGAATCCGAGCACGTGAATCCAAGGGTGATTTTATCGATTTTTCAAGCGGAGTTGGGAATTGATATAAATTGAATTGTTATGAGTGTATGAGCATATATTTATGAATTCGTATAATTATTGACTAGTTTTGGAGCGTTGGGTATCGTTTTGAGTCGTCGGGAGGGCTTGGGGGCCGGTTATGGAACTTCGGAGCGAGGTAAGTCGCATTTCTAACCTTGTAAGAGGGAATTAACCCTATAGGTGGAATAATTAAATATGTGCATCTATTTGTGGGGGTTACGTACGCACGAGGTGACGAGAGTCCGTGCGTAGCTACTATTATGCTCAAGTCCGGGTAGTCTAGGACCCAAAAGCATGCTATACTTGCAATATTTGTAACCTTATTGACAATTTAAAATGCTTAAATCATATCGAATTGGTAAATGAATTTCTAAAAAGGTTAAACTTCATTTTCTTCATTTAAAGGAGAATTGACTTTTCCTTGGATAAATGCTCCTTGATAAATACTTGATTGACTATTGATTGTATTTTCCCTTTTGTGGAACAGGCCGAACGCCTCTGCAGATTAAATAGATGCATCTATGGTTCGCGCCGTTAGACCCTCTGTCAGTGCTCAGTTAAAATATTATGTTGGGTTGGGGCCGTACGACCTTGGCATGTCTTGCGCATGCTTGTATTGTTTGCCTTGAAATTTATAAATAATGATATTACCTCCCTGGCCTGAGATAAATTGATAACTGATGAAATATTAATTTGGAAATCTCCTATTATCGAATGAATTGTTTACCTGCTTCATGATTCCCTTGAGTTTACTGATGTTTTTAATAAATTCACGTCTGATTATATTACTGGACCACTAGTAAGTGTCGAAGTCGACCTTTCGTCACTACTTCTTCGAGGTTAGACTGGATACTTACTGGGTACGCGTTGTTTTCTTACTCATATTACACTTGTTGTGCATTTTTGTTGCACAGGCACATGTATGTCTAGTGGTCTCGGTGGGCGCAGCGGCATGCTTGATACGAAGACTTAAGTGAGCTGCATCTCTGAAGACGACCGCAGCAAGCAGAGTCTCCTTTAAAACGAGAATTTACTAATTATTTGGTGTTGGCTTGCCTGACAGTTGTGTCCGTCACCATCACGACCTTTAATGGTTTTGGGTCGTGACATATAACATGGTATACAATTAGTTATTACTTTATTATCCAAATTATCATATCAAGCTAATTGATACCAATAAATACATATATTTGTTAGTTAACTATCGTTAATGTACATAACATAAACTCTAATCCATAAGAAGTTTAAGGACTCATGAAATCGAAACGCATGAGAAGTTTTACAGATCTATAGACATCTCCTCTGCGCTTATGCAATGGAACGCATCGAATCCCAGTCCTGAGCTCAGAAACTGGCAAGCATGTTTGTCCTGCAAATTCATCTTCTCCAGAGGGGTCATAATCTTTAACATCAATCCGAAGCAAAGCTAGTTCAGGAACACGAATTGGGAATTCGAATTTCTCATTCCATATTGGTATCCATTGATCGTCAACTATCCTAGTTCTACACATCTTACTAGTATCAGTAGGAACTCCCACAATTCCAACCTGCAAATTTTCAATCAATTTGTCAATATAAACTATTAGTGTATATAAGTTAAATATTTTATTAAAAGAGTTTAACATCTATTAGATTGACTTTAAAAATTATGCACTATCAAATCATCAAATAAAAGAATACATATAAACTGCCTATAATAATAAATGTAATAATTAGTCACCTAAAAGTATAGTAGACATGAAATAGCTTACCCTGGCATAGAAGTCGGGAGGGGAACAATAGTCAAAGTGTCTAAAGTGGAAGTCTACACGCCAACCTTCTCCCATGAATATTTTTACCTGTTTATATCAAAATACACATGAGACATATGTTATTCTCAAGCAAGGTCGATATTATGCCACAATGTGGCATTTCTGATTAGAAAGAAATTTGAGCTTAATTCAATCTTAAAAGTTTGTTTAAGAGGTAAGGATTTCTCAAGCCATATCAAGAGACCGTCCATTCCCTTCACCATTGATTTGGGACTCTTCAACATCCCTGCACGCCATATCAAGATAAGAAATGGATCTTGGGTCTAATTCGACTTCAAAAATTAGCTCAAGAGGTAAGGATTTCCAAGCTATATAAAGAGACCACTCATATCCCTTAACTACCGATGTGGGGCTCTTCAACCGCCTCCCCTCCTCCCACCGTACGTCCAGGACTTGAAATCTAAAGCATGGGCAAAATAATATGGGGGTAATATGGGGGTTCAACATCCGGTCGGGATGGGACTTGTTCTAATACCAAAATAAAAAATGAATTTTGGGCCTAATCAACCCCAAAAGATAGCTCAAAAGATAAAAAATAAAAATAAAAATCAAGTCATATAAAGACCACTCATCCCCTTCACTATTGATTTGGGACTATTCGAAACTCCTCCCTCTACCCCCCCCCCTCCCTCCAGCCCAGGACTGGACATTTGAAGCATGGACAATATAATATATAATTTCAACATCGGGTACGGAGTCACACTCATATCAAGATAAGAAATGGATCTTGAGCTTAACTCTAACCCTAAGAACTAGCTTATCAAGTGGTGGTGATTTTCCAAGCCATATAATTCACCCATCTCCTTCACTACCGTTGTGAGACTCTTCAACAATTTAAGTGACTAAATACTATTCATTCCATTTTAATTTAGTGGCATAGTTTAACTATGATAAAATAAAAAATTGAATACTTTTGAAACTTGTCATATTAAATATGTTGTAATATTTGTGTGGCTATAAAATTTATGGTTTTCAACATACCATAATATTTGTGTAGTTATAAAATTTTGTCATTAAGAGAAGAATGAGAAATTCAAATTCAACTATTTTCTAATTTAGGTGTTATTTTTTTTTAAACGGAACAATAAGAAAATTGTGTCATTTTTCTTAGAATAGATGAAGTGTTGCAGTTTATGAACCTTGAGAATTGTCTTCACTGGCAAGGCCATGGAATTGAAAACTTCATGACATGCGCCATCAGGACTTAGTAAAAATTCTGGTTTTTTCACATAACCACAGCCTCCGTTGGCTCGAAAAAATCCTTGCATCATCCATAGGTACTTACAATATCCCTGTTACATATATAGAAATATTTAATTAATTAAGGTTCTAACTGTAATCTTGACCCTTAGCTTCTTTTTTCAGAATTTCTTTATTTTTTATTACCCTTAACTGAAAGTATATATATGAAGGAAATGGCAAGATAGATCAATACTACTCGACCTGCATGTTAAATGCAACCATCTGAGCTCCGCGCATCCATGCAATTAGAGGATCATAGTTTGATGAGTCAATACGTGCACCCTTTGGGTACACCCTTAATATGTGTCGTTGAGTAAATCTGAAGTAAGAAAAATAATACTTACTCATCAATTCTACAGTACATAAATATAAAAAAAAAGTACATTAACTTTTTTGGTATTTAATTGGTGAGTGAAAATATTTTCTAGAAATAATTATATCAAAGACAATAAGCTGAAGATTTAATTATATATAACTTACCGAATTAGTTGATGGCCATGTTCAGTGACAGCTAAAGCTTTTTCAAGGGCTTGTTCATTCATGCTAAGACGTCCAACTTTATCAAAACTTGCATGCCTCCCAAAATTTTCCATGCCACCTTTATGCTTCGTGGCATGGATTGCTATCAAATCTCTATATTTGAGAACTTCTTCGAACTCCTTATCCTGCTCTTCATCCCTCTCCTACATACCAATTAATTGAAGGAAAGTGTTTAAAAAATATCACGTCTAAAGAGATTTAACTTATAGTATACCCAGAGGCGGTCTCGGGATTTGAAGTTCGCAGTTGCACTTTTTGATTCAACCAAAATCTGTTTTGTATATAGGGTGCCCACTATTAATATATCGCTATTTTCTAAAGACATATACATGTACATATGAAAATTTTACCGAATTTTATGGGTGCCGTTGACCCCTTTACCTATTGTATAGGTCCACCTCTGTGTATACATACACCAACAATGGTAATGTATCTTAACCCGTTTAAGAGGTAAGCTGCCTCATTTTTAGAAACTTGAGTTCAATGCAGTGACAATGTAAAAAAAAAACATACTATAACACGTTAAATTACATTGATAAGGACATGCAAAACATGTTGGGCTAAACTAGCCCAAGTACACTCTTAATATGGTGTGATATTGTCCGCTTTGGGCCAAGCCCGCACGGTTTTTCCCAAAAGGCCTCACACCATTAAGAGATCTCTACACCTTATATGTAGACTCCCAATCTTTTCAGCTACCAATGTGGGACTTTGTTCTCACACCCAACAAAACAAGGGCTAGAGAATAATAAGCACAAGTTAAACCTGAGTATTTGTATCAAGTTCATTCTCCAAATGTCCGCTCTGTGATTATTACCTTATTGTCTGATTCAGCGCTACTTTTTGGTGGTGGTTTCGTTGAAATTAAGATTTTATTCTTTAAAGAGTTTGGTGAAGGAAACTCGTCCATTTGTGATTGTGGGATGAATAGCATGGAACCAAATGTTTTCTTGACCATCTGCGTTCAAAATTATGTTGACATCGAATAAGCAAAGTATTTCAATGTTCTAATACTTCAAGGGATTACGTACGTTTTAATTTTATATTAAAAGAAGTGTTTAACTTCTACCTAAAAGATAGTTACAGGTAACCGTCCATAAAAAGTGAAATTAGTAACTTGAAAAATAAGATAAACTACCCGTTAAAATACACTTAGGTGGTAAAAATTCTTTATATTGCAGTCATGTGTTACCTTGAAACAATAAATTGAAATATATATATATATAGGTTTCACCTGAGCGACTTTTTTTTGAAGGTGTGGGTAAGGATGAAGGTGGTCTTCAAATGTTAATATAACAGGATATTCAGAATTTGAGAAAGCAACCTCCTTTATGGCTTTCAGACATTTGCTTAGTTTAACAGGAGTTGTCAGTGTCCTGCAGTTTTAGGAATAAAATAAAGACTAATTAATTGGAATATTGATCGTAAGCTTTCAATTTCATAGTGATGTTAGAATTTATCGTCGTTTATTATCTTTGGTAATCTCTTCAGTTCTATTGTCGTTTACATCTCATTGTAAATTGGATCCAGAATTTGATGTCTTTTTAAATAAGAATGAAAAAGGAAAGATCTATGTTCAGAACAGCCGAGATTAAATGAGAATTTGCTTTCTTTAACATTAAAAAGAAGGTCATAATAAACAGTCATGAAAATCTGATTTTAATTTTATATAAAAAAACAGGTAATAATAAACAGACATGTAAAATTTGGTCTTAGCTAGTGAAACAAGAAAGACGAGGATCTATATTCAATACGGAATCAAAGAATTTCTCCCCAAACAGAAATAGTTACCCTCCGTGACGAACATCGATATCATCTTTGGTAATATTAGGCCAAAGGTCCAATTCAATCACTCTAACTCCTTTCTTTAATGCCTTCTTTATTGGTTCAGTACTACAATCACTGCTCAGCTGGTTTCCAGTTAAGTAAGAGTTATGTCCAGTGTATATATAATAATGAGCCAAAGGAGCATCCATATTTTGGTGGACCTAAATAACCAACAATAGACAGAAATTAAGTAAACAAGTGTATCTAAAGGAGAATTAATTGACAAAGATAATTTTAATACCTTAGACTGGTGAGCAAAGTTATAATCACCAATAAGATATTTAAAGAAAGCATCAAGATTTAATCCTCTTTTGTGGACAATATTGTGATGATGCTTGAGGCTATTGAATATATTTTGGGCCTCTTTTGTTACATTCACCTCCTTCTGTTCTTTCTCTAAGAAACTAATTAGATTATCTATGCTCATAATCCCATTTACTGAGTAAGATTCAAAGACTTGCTTTATATCTTCTGGTATTTCACCTCCCCTTAACTTGAATCCTCGTGACCAGCAGAAGCAAACCTTGAAATGTTGCTTATTATTATTGCTAGACATTATTTTTCTCGACAGTAATTCCAATTGTTACTGCCACAGATTATTGTATCTGAATTTGATTGTTCCATTTATATGTAGGAATATTAATATCTTTGTTCGTGATATGCATGGTGGAATATTAGAAAACTTTTGGTTTCCATATTCTGGGAATTGCTTAGGAATATATTGTCCCACTTTTGGTCCCAGTAATTAAGAATATATTATGCCTACACGAAAAGTGATGCTTCTTGCTCTATCTGAAACTTTAGTAAATTGAAGAGGAAGAGCAAGTTATGTTTCTTGATGGTGGGGTTGATTGGAATCAGTAATGGAAAATTTCAGTGGCAAAGCAAAAAATTTGGGATCCAAAACAAAATGCAAGTACGCCTGGAATTCGAACTTGTGACCTAAAATAATTTTTATATTATTTTAATTTAAATCAAGGGATTCAATAAGATAAAATTTTGTTTTATTTCCTTTGCCCATGGAAATTCTTACCCCAAAAGTCAACCGAGTGAGAATTTGTTTTAGTCACCTATATATCATGTGATTCACGTCTTGTGCTTGAATTTAACGTATGGAGTTAGATGAATATAGATGGTAGATATATACAAATTCCGGTAAGTGTCTTGCATTCATGCAGGGTCCTAAGAAGGGGCGCATATCAAGAGATGTAATGTAAACAGCTTATCTTGCGACTTCCACCACTCGAATGATCCGTCGGTGGATACAAGTTTCAAGTTAAATAAATTAGTTTACTCCTGCAATCACATGATTTCTTGATTACCTAATTTTGTACGCTCGGAATATTAACAATACTTCTCTTTCTTTCCAAGATTGTGTGGTTGCAAGTGTTTCCAAACTGTCAAAGATTGTAGAAAAGGGAAAAAGAACCACTCAACCACCGTGTAGCAACTGTTGTGCATGGAGAGTACTTATTAGACCACGTAATTTTTTCTAAGTCATGAATTCTGAAAATCACCAATACTTTATAAAACGCATTCAGTAGTCTTCACAAATACAGGGCCAAATCTGTGGATTTAAAAACTCAAGTAGATGGCGAAACAGGGAAGCGAAAGCATGAAGCTTTTATAGAATCTTAATAGATAACAATGGAGGAGTACAAACGTTGTTCTTCGATATGATCTATGGCTTAATCCATCCATTGAACACTCAGAGGCGGAGCCAGGAGTTAAAGTTTATGGATTTGGGGTTCTAATTATTTTAAGTTACTGGGTTCTAATTAAAAATTTATATATATTTAATGGATTTCTAAGACAAATACATGGATTGAATCAAAGCGACAGGGTTTGGCCGAACCCGTAATTGATGGGCTAGCTCCGCCCCTGTGTACAGTACTCTTCTTATTTCATATGACAACGCAACCTTTGATTTATCGATATTAGCTCTGGAAATCTACCTCCACCCACCAGCCGTTCATGGATTTTATATAAATATATATAATAGTGTTGTCGAGATCAGCTTGCGCGCACCTCGACTATTCCACCACACACATACTACCTCCCAGCAGGGCTTAGCTAGGGTAAATACTTTTTGTCTCTGTGAGGATGAATCCTGATCTCCAAGGTCTATACATACTTTATTGACTACACGAGCTCCGGCCATTTATGGAGGTAGAGACCAAGAGAAGAAACTCCCTGATAAACGTACAACCAATACAATTAATAGGTCTGCATGCCTCTTTTGTTACTTTTTTGTATCCCTGTTCGTCCGAAACAACTCAAGCATTCTAGCCGAATCTCAATTTTTTACCTGCAACAAAGAACTGAATTTTAATTATCGTGTTAATAGTTTATGTAAAGAATCCTAAAGAGACACTTTATTAGTCTAGCAGGATACTCCTCACGTAAAATCCAATTTACGGAAGTAGCACTACAACTTTGTTTCTTGAGTTGAATATTAGATGTCGCAAGAAATGGATTACCGCTTTGGTAGGGAAGCTGATTTGGTTACTGATAGCGAAGAAGGAAGGTTTATGGGTCAAATGGGTGCATGGTTTGTATATAAAGCCTGGAATAAATTTCTGGATGGACACTCCTCCAGCAGATTGCATAAGCTGAAGAATGAAATGCGGCTCTGGTATTGTAATGATAAATACCAATTGACTTCCTCTGGTGCTTACTCTGCCTCAAGTAGCTATATAGCTGTGCTGGGGCCTTAAACAAAAATTAGTATTTCCAAGCTAGTTTGGGGGGCTATATCCTTGCCTAGCCATAGGTGTATTGTTTGGTTGGCTTTGCAGGGTAATTATAAGTTGCAGACTAAAGATAGACTATTGATGATGAACATTCCCTGTGAGAATGACAAGTGTTGTTTGTGTGAAGAGGATGTACTGGAAACTGATCAGCATTTATTTGGGGAGTGCAGATGGTTTTCTACACTCAGGGGAGAGATGCAAGCATGGACAGGGTTTGTCATTCCACATATGAGCAAAAAGGAAACATTGACAGTATCATACGGAAACATTGGAAGAAGTGTACAAAGGAGATAATGGCTGTTGTGTATGGAGCAATGATCTACCAGACATGGAAAACTAGAAATTGGAAGGTGTTTAGAGGAACTAATGTACGTATGCACTTTGGGGTCGTTTGGTAGCCGGTTAGGGGAAAAGTTATTCATGTATTAGGGGTAACATAACGTATACCATGTTTGGTAGCCATTAGTTATTTTGTAAAAAATTCAGCATAACTAATACTATGTTTGGTTGGCATTTTACAATTCTACATAAATAATACATGTATAAGTTATGAGTCAATCTGTGTGTTATTTTATGCGGGGGAGAAGATGGAATAACTAATACATGTATTAGTAATACATGGATAAAATACTGAAATGACAAATTTACCCCTATCAATTTACCACAAATCATTGCCATTTTCTCCAGCAAACTTTTCATTGTTCGTTTTCTACCGCAAATAACAATCTTGTACTATGATATTTTTGAATTACTAAATAAAGTGTGTAACAATATAGCAAGAAATTCAACCAAAATCCAAGAAAGAATTATATACACTACAATTAGCATGACCTTTTTATTGAATTTCACGTGCACTACTCAAGGACTAATCCTTGCATAACTAATGCATGCATAAGTAATCCCTGCATTACTTATTCTTGCATAACTAATACATACATAACTAATACCTGCATAACTAATACATGTATAACTAATACCTGCATAACTTTAACCGGCAACCAAACGACCCCTTTGTCTATACACAAATACAACAGGAAATTAGAGTGAGGATAGATATGTTACAATATTCAAGGAAAGCTTATAGGTGTTCTGAGTTGATTAACAAAAACTATGTAACTAGTTGGATTGTTGGAGGCCTTTATTCTCATAATACCCTTCAACCTTCATGAAGGTGGTTGTGAGGTAAAGGTGCTCTTTAGGTGTATTGGTTTTTTTGCTTGTTATGGTAATTATTTATAGCTTTTACCAACAAAAAAAAAAAGAACTTTGTTTCATGAGAACCGTAGAGAAGCAACCTGGAAATCCTATTGCATTGCAATCTTTGTATCCTCTCGACACATTTCACGTCCGTTGCAAAATATAACACTTCGACTTAGAGAACCAGAATAGTAGTTGAAGAGCCTGAGGTTGAAAATATAACATCTGTATCAACAAATTTAACATTTTTTAAGCTTAATGGCTCTCCTTGAGCATAGGCAGCTTGGCTTCATTTTGATCAAATTGAGCGTGTAGCTTAAGGCCGGTCAACAACCTAGCCGTGGATACTATACAATCATGATACAAGATATTCATCTCTTTCATTTCCCTCAGCTCCATGTCTTTAGCTGCAAGACCTGTTCGTGCAACGTCCAAATTTTGATTGGCATCATCCAGTTTACTTTGAAGTTCAGAAACTTGGACCCTCAAAGCCTTGCACTCTCTTTCCAAATCTTTCTGCACGAGTTCCATCTGTACTCATCATATCAATGCAAGCAACATAAAATATCAATATCAATATAAAAGCAGAATGCATGTTAAACGCAGAGACATGGAGGTGACATACTTTATTCGAGACTCTTTTAACCTGCTTACGAACTTTATGTATATTGCTAGACCAACACAAATGTCCTTTCCCTGCATAGATTGACATTTGTGTTGCTCTAGCAATATACATAAAGTTCGTAAGCATATTGCCTACGAACTGGACGGAAAAAATGAACCTGTAGGGAACAAGAAATCATACTTGAACATTGAAGAATGTGTAACTTAATACTCATCCCTCTTCTGTAACTTGATAGACAACATGATACATCGTATCTTACCCACGCTTATTTTTTTCTCTGGCAAGAGTCCAATAGGATCATTAATCTTTCCAACAGCAAAGAAAACTGAATTCCCATATGGATGAGTCAGCAAGCTCTGCATAAATTGTTGTTTGGCACCATCTTTGGGCAAGTTTTCCTGCAGATAACAAATGAACCTTATTTTGACCTGGCACAAACTCAAATGGAGTTCATGGATAAACTATTCCAAGGAATTTCAACATAAGTCATCGAAACACTGTTTGGTATAATTTCAAATAAGGGGAAAACTAGCCAGAATGAAAATAAAAAAGAAACAAACAGAAAGAGAATGAGCAATTGGAGAAGAACTAGAAGACAACAGTCAACCGCTGCTGGTAGTTCCCGTTTCCTGCTCACAAAAAGTGGTTGAGAAATACATGAAGCATAAATCATCTACTAGTATTTATTGGAGAACACATTGTATTATGAAAGAAAATACATGTATATTAATCATAAAAATGACAACATTAATGAAAAATTAAATAGAAAGAACTTCTCCCCAATTTCTTTGAACATGATTCCTTGGGCAAGGAGAAACGGATATCCAACTCCCACTCCCACTTTGCACGTGTCACTGCAATTTGTCTGGGTAAAAAATATTCCAGCAGCGATGGCCAATCTCTAGAATAAATAACAAAACAACTTAGCAGATAGGGGGGCACCTACGACATGTTCAGGCTTTGAGATGACTAGCAGCAGTACTACGCATAATTTGAAAGGAATAAAAGATATTAAAAACTACTAACTTGCGAGATTGAGGGCCATCAACATATCCAATGTCAACTAGAATCTGCAGAGCAGACATCTGCGCTGCATCATCCTTGCCAACAGGATAATTGCCCAGTATGTAATCGTGCTGTAACTGTGAACACATAACATCTATTATCATGAAGTAGAATCAACTTTGACTTCGAAGGTCTACCAATGAACTTAAATAATTAGTACAACTCAACTAGAAGCAAATCAACATACTTGAACATAAGATAATTGCACGAACATTGGCTCTGTAACAGCTTCATTTGACTCCCGAAGAAACTGTCTTTTTGAAAATCAGTTTACAGTGCAAAATATCCCCCTCACTTCTGTTGTTTGACGCCTTAAAGTCCGCCAATAGATTGCCAATATACTTATTGTCATCCTCTAAACAAAGCACACAAGCTTAAGATGCTAAATATTTGACCTTAAAAGACTTTAATAAGTGGATAGGAATTAGTACCATTTATAGGATCTACGAATTTAGAACCAGTAACAACCTTACGGCACTCGAACAGACTGAAGCTAGCATGAGTTGACAAATTGATTATCCTTGCAACCTCCTGAAAGAGCAAGTATATCACACGAAAGTTATAAAAGGAAAACATCACTATCGTATCCACTATAAAATATATCTGGTCTCCAAAGAAACTAAGAAAGCTAAAACAGGAACTTCTTAAATCAAGACTAACAAATTAAAAAATTGATAAAAACCATGTCAAATGATCCCTTCTGATATTAGAGGCCTTAAGCCATCAAAACATAAGTCAAACTTTGTAATTCTTGAGTCTATGAAATAAAAAGAAATGAGAAAAGAAGAAGTAATAGACAGATACCACAAAAGTTAAAGTTCCAAAACAGAATATAAGAAGCTGTCGATTTAACAGATTAGAAGTCATTAGTTACTTCTTAGTTTTCTTTTCTGCTGATAGTAACAAAAGTTTCGGGCTAGCAATGTTGCACAGTTTCGTTTCATCTTTTTTTTTTTTTTTAATTTGGTGGAAAAATTATTTATCTTGTAAAGAATTTCTTTATTTACGCCAACTATTCTTCTCATTTGTAGAAAGATAATTTCTTTACACACTTTATAAATACTTATCCCACCAGCCAAAAAATTAAGTAAGTTCTCATAACTTCATCTGTTGACTCTTTATCTTTTCACTCTCTTCAAGAGTCTGTTTTTCATTTATTCTGAATTCCAGTACTGCGTCTGCCACAGATTACATATCCAACTTTGTTTGTTCCATTCATATGTAGGAATATTAATATCAATATTCGTGATATGCATAGTGGAATATTAGAAAACTTTTGGTTTCAGTATCTGGGAATTGATTAGGAATATTAATTTCCCCTATTTTGGTCCTAGAAATGGTATATAATGCCGACGTTAAAAGTGATGCTTGCGATGTGTGAAATTTTAGTAAAGCGAAGAGCAAGAGCAAGTTATATGGAGTAGTAAATTTCTTGATGGCGGGGTTGGGAATAAATATTAGAAATTCCTACAGCTAAGCCAATAAGCCATCTCATTAAAAATTCCAACACGTTTTAGCCACCTATATGATTCACGTTTGCTTGGCTGTTTTTTCTAATTCATTGGATACTTGCTACTAGGGGTGTTCAAATCGAACCGGAAAACCGCACCAAACCGAAAAACCAAACCAAACCGATTAAAAAACCCGACTAGGTTTGGTTTGACTTGGTTTGGTATTAAGTAAAAAAACCCCAATCAAACCGACATATAAATATATAAATTTTATTTATATTTTTAAGAGTTTATAGTGATTTTTCTTTAGAAAATGTAGAAATATTTGAGATCCTCTCATGTATTAACCTGAAAGCGGAAATTAACGAAAAAATATTGTTAGACGACTAAGAAAATAACTATCATGTGTTACTAAAAAAATTCTCCCAATAGAATATTTTAATAGATCATATGTTTGTCAATTTTTTTCCATATTTACTAAACATATATTCACTTATCAAAGTTTTATCTATAATTTTAACAAAGTAAGATTGAAATAATATTCATGTAATAAAAAAATCCGAAAACCCGAAAAACCCGACCGAACCAAACCAATCCAAACCGATATAGTTGGTTTGGTTTGGTTTTGGTAAAAACCGAACCAACCCCGTCCATGTACACCCCTACTTGCTACCTTCCAGCAACATAGGCGTTAGGCAACTGTGTCCCCCAAGCTTTAAACAGATGGAAATCTTGTGCCAAACTATGCCTTGTGTAGTTACATGAACATAGATTGTAGAAGCTATCCAAGTTATAAAAACTAGTCTAGTCCTACAACCAGATTTCTTGATTACCTGATTCTGTTCGCTCACAAAGTTCACGATATCTTTCCTTCTCAATATTGTGGTGCAAGTGACGTTTCAAACTCTCAAGGACTTTATATATATATATAAAAAAAAACATCAAATGATAATCATAAAATCGATTCAACCTTCTAGCAACTGCTGTCGTTAAAGAGTACTTGAATTGTTTCGAGCCATGAACTGTGAAAATTACCTAAGTTAAAATATCGCTGATTAAGTCGTAATTGACATCAACCATTATAGATGAATAAAAAGAACTGAGAATGTAATTCTTGTTGGAAGTAAGAATTTTGAACTAAAAAAAGTTGTCCATATCTCCTATCCCGCTAGAGTTTTCCAGTAACCGCGCCTTACCCTGTTTCCATGTGCATGCCGGGCTTCAATACTGAAAGAGGTAATGCATAACATTGCACTTGCGAATTAGCAGGTAGAGAGCCAAGTGGGATTTTGTTTCTGTTTTCCAACTGTAATTATCCTATTTTCATTGACATGCTAACCTTCTCTGTTCGTTCCAATTTTATCAGATGTCTTGAAGGGACGGCACAACATAATGGTTGTAGTAAAGAGTAATAATGATGCAGTTAAGAGTAAGGTTTGTAGTGAAAATATCACTGACGCAAATTGTGAAGACATTTTTACAGAGCAGAAAACCCACTGCTCGATATTGGCATGTGCACCTAAAAGTAAATGGCATAAGCTCACGAGTGCAACCATGGAATGGAAAAAGGAAAGATTTGGTACATGCCACACACTCAAAGCTGGTTATATATCAAATTGCCCGTGATTCACTGGATCAAACTACAATCGCAACAGAAACCAACTTCTAATGGCATTTCGAAGAAACAAGTTAAATCAGGGGTATGTTCATTCGAATCATCACAACCAATACGCAACCCAATTTCTTTCTCTAGATATTCAATTGCAAGAAGCTGAAAATAAGTGAACAAGGAAACAATACCAAGATGAACAGAATAGAGCTCTATTAAATTCACAGCTGAAACTAAACACACCAGAAATCAACTTAGAGTGCATTTGAAACCAGAAGGGAGAAATTACTTCTACTTCTACCAGAGGTAATGGAAGGTGAATCCAGCATAGAGGTACACTCACTGCCTCAAACTACAATAACTACTCAAACAAGTTGAAGTTTACTAATATGAATCCTTCAAGTTCATTCTGCTGCATCTGGACTCCTTTCATTAACTACTCAATAATCTGTCCTTGGATTTTCTAAAATTAGGGATTCTCTAAATATCCCATGTAACCTCTATCATCCAATCTAGAACCAAGTTCAAAACACTCCTGATAAATACCGGGCCTAATGTAAGTGTGCCAATAACGATTAACCTTAACCCAAGCGAGTTCCTTTTGCCAACAAGGATACTTGATTTCTGTTCCATGCTTAGTTTCTATGGATTGAAAGAAATTGTTCCATGTAACTTTAAGACTACATACATTAACATACATGTATTTGTGCATCAAAACTTCTAGAGATGACTGTATATAGTATATTTATCATGTGTATCCGGTATCCAGATTCATGCGCTTTCTACAGTCACATGCTAATCAATAGAAAATCCATACTTCCCCAGAATATACGCAGAGACACAGCTGAATATACAAATGCATAACTAAATGAATCTTAATCATCCCATTTGAGTAAAAGACATTATCCCATTCCAAATGGTTTCAGTACTCAAACCTGCTGAAATAACAACTGGCCAGAAAATCAAAACTACAATATACGGAAGAACATATTCCAAAGTATAAAATACGCTCGTCCAAAGCACAAGAAGAGGCTCCTTAAACCTCAATTACTGTAAACATTTAAAACGAAATTAAGAGTTTTCTAGACTTACAAACCATATCTCACTCAGAACGATTAGCATACCTCTCCACCTTATCATCAAGATTTATTCCAACCATAGCCTCACCAAGCCCACAGCTAATTTCAGCCAGCAGTCCAGGGTCACTGTAATGAGTCACAGCTTGCACGATAGCGCGTCCCCTTTTGGCAGGGTCACCACTCTTGAAAATTCCAGAACCCACGAACACTCCGTCACATCCCAACTGCATCATAAGCGCTGCGTCTGCTGGTGTTGCCACCCCACCTGCTGCAAAGTGAACCACAGGGAGCCTTCCGAGCTGTTTTGTTTGCATCACCAGGTCGTACGGTGCCTGAAGCTTCTTAGCAAAAGTGAAAACCTCATCATCATCCATGTTCCGCAGCACCCTGATATCACCCATCACGGAACGCACGTGACGGACGGCCTCGATGATGTTGCCGGTACCGGCTTCCCCCTTGGTGCGTATCATGGCGGCTCCCTCCCTGATACGGCGGAGGGCTTCGCCGAGGTTACGGCAGCCACAGACAAAAGGAATGCGGAAATTGTGCTTGTTGATGTGGTTCTCATCGTCGGCGAGAGTGAGGACTTCTGATTCGTCCACGTAATCGATTCCGATAGCCTCGAGGATTTGGGCCTCGACGAAGTGACCGATACGGGCCTTGGCCATAACGGGGATGGTTACGGCCTGTTTGATTTCTTTGATAAGCTGGGGATCCGACATGCGGGCTACGCCGCCCTGAGCGCGTATATCAGCGGGGACGCGCTCAAGGGCCATGACGGCACACGCGCCTGCCTCCTCGGCTATACGGGCCTGCTCAGCATTGACGACGTCCATGATAACGCCGCCGCGAAGCATCTGAGCGAGACCCACTTTCACTGAGAAAGGGGATTGCTTTGTAGTCTCGGTGAGTGCACCATTTCCGTAAAGTGTTACCACACCGCTTCCGGCCATAATCGAATTGTGTGTGTGTGTGTGTGTGAAAGAGAGGAACAGAGCAGAAGAAAGGAGGAGGAGATAGGAAATGAAAAGGTGGTGGAGGAGAATAGGAGTAAAGTGGCTAGGGATTCTGTGTCTGAGGATTTCTACCTTGTTTATAGGAGTAGTAACTGCTCTATTAATTTAATTATTAATCGGCCTTTTTAATTCTGAAAAAATCTTCATTGTTTATACACCAAACAAAATCAACGTACTTCCTTATCAGTCCTCGTTTTCCCTTGTTTGTTTGTGATAAACATTTTTAAATATGGGGTGTGGGACAGTGGGAGCTCTTTTACATAAGTTTTTCTTTTACTTCTCATCTGGTTTGATGTTTGATATTCACGTTGTGCGTAGACTAATTTGGATTCTCATAAAAAAATAAATTATTCTCATTGCCTATCATTTAAATTATGTATCCG